AGAAAACTTTGGTTGAACTGCAGAACACTAATTTTAGTAGTAGGGCCAGTAGGATGCAATAAAGAATAGGTTGATTGATTAGGACCTAGCGAATTCTTGTCTTTGTTTTGGCTTATTTGGAAAATAAGATAATGAAGACAAGTCGTACCATGATGTTTGAGAAATAAACAGTTCTTTACATATTTTGGTTGTTTTTTGTTTTGTTTGTGTCAAGCATTAATCATGTATTATTATTGTTTCAAATGGAAAAATGACTAAACTAGAATTATAATTTGATAGGAAGTTGCCTAGTAGAAAAGAAAATAAAACATTAAAAAGGTAGACCCATCAGTCTTTTTTAAGCACTATTTCTTTTTCTTAAGATTTTTTTTTTTAATTTCAAAGTCTAAGTAACAGAAAAAGAGGGAGAAACAGAGAGCTCTTCCATCCACTAATTCACTCTCCATACAGTCAATTTCCAAGGTCGGACCAGGTTGAAGCCAGGAGTATGGAGCTTCATCCAGATCTCTTACGTGGATGGCAGGCCTTTAGGAAACAGCTGATCCGAAGTGGACCAGCCCAGATTCCAGCACCTATAGGAGATGCCAACATTGCAGGCAGTGGCTTTACCCACTATGGCATAACACTGACCCCATCCAGTCAGTCTTAAAAAAGGACTCAGAGGACCTAGCAACTGAGACATTTTTTCTCCTAAATTAGGTAGGTGTCAAATTTGTATATATTCAGAAGCATACAAGTGGAGAGGAATCACACTAAAATTCTGAATTTTGTTTTCTTGGTAAAATTATAATGAACACTTAATTTAAAATGCTTTTATTAGAACTCTTGGCCATTAGTTAAGGTTCTGAAAATACTTGGTGATAGAATATTTTTCTTTTAAATGCTGCAAAATTCTGAATTTTTCAAAAATTTTAGAAATTTTTAAAATCTAATACCTCACATAGGTTATTGAAATGCACTGCCATGAACAGTCAATAATAAAAAAATGAAATAAAGCAGATACTTCTCTCGTATTAGATAAAATTTTAAAGTGTGTGTTAAATAAGAAAATAATATTCACTTGGAATAATCAATAATTTAAAAAGACCTTTCAGAAATAAAATTCTCTGAGGATTCCTATTATTACTAAATTGAGTGCCTTATTCTTTTAACTCCCTTGATGTAAAGGCTTAGGGAAAAAGTTGTGTGTATGAAAAATGTTATAAGGCATAGTTGCAAGATATAGGGAGTGCCTTAAATCATCTCTGAATATCACTGATATTCTTAGTGAATTCAGATCGGGTTTGAGTCAGGTGGGTAGTAGACTGATTAGGATGTCAGCTTTAAATCTCTGCAGGTGATAGACTGGCCATTTTAAATGTCACTGTTAAATGTTGAATCAAATTGCAAACGGCTTTTGGTCCCCTGATGGAGCTTAGAAATGCCAATGGCTTCGTTATATTTATGTTTCTGTAAATTAAGAAAGTCACTTGAATATCTGCTGTTTGATCTGCATGCTTGCTTGAATTATAAATATTAATTTAAGCTTCATTATGACAGCAGTAATCTTTGTTATAATGTTGCCTGCATTTCATTTTAAAATAAATTATGACTTCACATTTTTCCATACATTAGCTGAATAGGAGAAATAGTGAAAATTCTCCCTGTCTTCCTTCAAATACTCACATACTACGTGTGTTGGTGACTCTAGTCTCATAGGAACCTTTCCCCTCTACTGCTAATGTTCTGAGTGATCACCAAGATAAGTTACATTTTGAAATATTTACAACAACCATCCCTACTTTTCCATGTGCTTTGCCACAGTCAATCCAGATACTCACCAACATTCCTAAACTGCTTATATAGTTACCTTAATCCATTATGTCAGTCATCTTACTTCGAGACCTATCTTTACTAAATGTCAATTTTATCATGTTAGTTTCTATTTATAAATAATTGAAGAACAAAAACTTAAGTATAGATATTAAACCATGGCTTTTAATATATTTCGGAGGCTTTTACATTGTATTTTTCATATGTCATCTCAATTACATCTGTATAAGATGCTTATCTACACTGATATTCCAATTCCCTGTATATTCTATGAATATTTATGATTTACCTTATATGAAATTCTGTCTCTAATTCAGTTTTGTTACTACAAAGTTGATCCCATCTTTTGAGTCTAAGTTTTATTTTCCTCTATGAACAGTATGTGAGCATATTGATATACGGCATATTATATTATTTTTCATATCTTTATGTAGTTTCATTGCCCCACCCAAATAAATTGAAAATTCACTTGCATTTAGAACTATACTTGTGATTTTTCATGCCACAGCATCCAGAAGAGTGATTTGCAGAATATGTGTAATCTATAAACAGTTTCATGGTAGTTGACTCACATCTACTTTCAAGTTTTTTTTAATACTTATATTTCTTTGAAAGCCATTCACAGAGGAAATAGATTTACTGTGAATTCACTTTTGAATTTTGGGGCTTTAAAGTTTTCTTTTCTTAAATAAGATTTGCTTTAGATGATATCTATTTTAGGCTGCAAAATGCTTTGTTGACTGATTTATAATTAATGCAATCATTTAATCTTTAGTGGTCCTTATATATAGTGAATCTGCATAATGTTGCACCTCAAAAGTTGTTCTGTCTCTTTCTAATAGATGTGAAAAGTAAAACTTTAAAATATGAAATTTCAACATTAGTGAAATCCACAAGTTGAGGCATGAAGATACAGAAAACCTAAATAGACAAATAACCAAGATGGAGCCTGAATCAGTAATAAAGAAATTCTCCATACCCAGAAACAAAGAAAAACTTAGACTGGGGAGATGCATTGATGAATTCCACCAAACTTTTAAAAGAACTATTCCCAATTCTTCTTAAACAATTTAAAACAATTGAAAATGAGCGAATCCTCCCAAAATCCTTCTATGACACCAGCATATGTAATTCCAAAACCAGGAAAAGATCCCACAGAGAACTATAGTCCAACATCCCTGATAAAAATAGATGCAAAATCCTCAACAAAATACTAGCTAGTTTAGTCCAGCAACACATGAAAGAATTCATCCAGTCAGACCAAGTGTGATTTGGCTCAGTGGTGAAGGGATGGTTCATTGTATGCAAATTAATAAATTTAATACATTGCAGCAACAATTTGCATGAAAACCATAAGAATATCTCAATAGATGCAGAGTAAACATTGATAAAATACAATTATTTTCAGAATAATAATCTTAAGCAAATTGGGTATGGAAAGAACATTTTTCAACACAATCAAGGAAATATATGACAAACCCACAAGTAGTATCAAATTAAGTGGGAAAAGCTGGAAGTATTACCACTAAGATCTGGAACAAGACAAGGATGCCTACTCTCACTATTACTATTCAGTGTAGTTCTGGAAGTTTTTGCCAGAGCAATTATATAATAAAAAGAAATCAAAGGGTTACAAATTGGAAAGCAGAGAGTCAAATAATTCCTGTTTGCAGATGACAAGCATTTGAGCCATCACCTGCTTTCACCTGGGGGTGCACATTAACAGGAAATCTGAATTGGGAGTAGAGCCATGACTCAAACCAGGTTCTCCAGTGAGGATACTGGACATTATAAACAGCATCTTAACCACTTCGCCAAGCATCCACCACGATGACATATTCTTAATTTATAATGTGCTTTATTTTAAATTTCATGTGTCTTTTTCTCTTACTGGTTGCTGAAAAGGTTTCCTATTACTTGTTCACAATGCATACTGTCATCATGGATTTTATATCAAAATGCAAGCTTAGATAAAGAGAGCTTTGCTTATAAAATGTTAGGGCAATGATGTGGTTCTCCTAAAGGGCACTTATGAGTGTTCTGCCACTTAGCTGTCAACTCTAGAAGTGAGACACATTTGAGCATAGTTTGTCTGCTTAAGGTTTTCCAAAGAACATATACTTATAGCCCAAAATCCCAAATTTTAATGTAGTTTAACTGTAACTAATCTGTGATAGACAAGCCTCCACGGTATTTCTATTTGCCAGTCTGTTGAATGATTTAATTCTCACTGTATGTTGTGGTGGGGTAAGGCATGATTCAAGTCTAGTGTTAAATGGTTTTCTGTAGCATCTCATTATACTGGAGAAGCTTGGGTATATATCCAAGGTTTAAGTGATTCAATGCTCATCTAAGTCAACTTCTGGTTACTTTGGTCATCAAATTCTCAGTATAGACTTGTCCTTTATTTTCATATTTCCTTCATTTATTCCTTACAATTCCATTAATTCATTTAAAGCTTAACGGTCTATTTCTCAAAACAAAGGATGGTGTGATACTTTATGGAATTATCACAGTGTCTTGTCCACCATGTCAATCTGTACTAAAGCTACATTTTAATTTACTTCAAAGTTCCAGACTATTCAGCTATTGTGTTACATATTTGGCAGTAAGCTTTTGAAAAATCAAGTATCTCCTCTCCTAAATTGTCATTATCCTGGATCCTAACATAACTTATTATATGTGAAAATCAACATGCATCCATCATTCACTATGCAATGCTCCCTTCACTCATATGCCTTTTTGCATGTAAATATTTTAGAAGATAGTCAAAATGTAATTTCTATATATTCTTAAACTTTGTAATGACTGTTTAGGTTTACTCATTCAAATCGTGTTCCAACTTTGCCATAAAATTTTTATTTAGATATTTCCCAACTTAGTATTCAATATAAGACCTAGCCTATGAATAAAATATAGTTTTCTGATTGTGAATTATATAATTTAATTGATTTACAGAATTTTAATATGTTAACTTGAATAATAGATTCGATCTGGTTGTGAAATTATAATAATGTAAATATATAATTTTGTTGGATTTTTTTACAGAGCTTCTGCTTGTCTTTATGGGAAATAAAAATCAGCTAAAAATGTTTAATGTTTGGACTGTGTGTTTTACACATCAAGTATTGACATATTAGAACTCATATGTAAAACATAAGTTAATTATTACTCAATTATTTTTTCAGCTCTTCTTCAAGTGACAATTTCACTTAGCAAAGTAGAGCTTAGTGTGGGTGAATCTAAATTCTTCACATGCACAGGTATGTATTTCCATACATATTTTCAGAATGTTTTCCACTTTAATTATTGATAAAATATATTGGCTAAATTTAAGTAGTTAAAAACTCAGCTCTTTGAAAACTAAAGCTTATCATGAGGATTGTAATGATTAGAGAAGTGTTAATAATTCACGTTTCCACATTACGAGTTGTGTATTTTTTGTGTTAATTTCAAGTTATAAACTACCAAACTATTTGAATTATTTGAATGGAACTTATTATGAAATAGAAAGTATGCACAATAACTTTTAAATATATTTAAATGGTATTCATGTCTAAATGATAATATCAAGATAAATGCAAAGATTATAACTGAACCTGTTTATAAATATGAAATGAATAAATTGGATACAGTGCACTGCAATGTAGTTACACCTGAATGAACATCTTAGGACAAAAAAAGGAAAATGAGTTCATCCTTCTGAAAGAAGAATACCCATTTAAAATTAGTCACTTAATGAAGAAAACTGTAAGATTTATTGATTTTTAATTAGAAGTATCAAATGTCATGAGGTTTATGGAAAATTTTATGGACCTTTTTAATAAGGTTAATGAGGAATACACAGATTTCATTCAGAAGACACTTAAATAGTTAAGTTTGATATTCTAATTCAGTGTATTATAGAACTGATGACTAGATTCATTTTACAGATCTTTAGATTCACCATATTCACTTGTATGCATATAACTTCATAACTAAGCTTAAAATATTTACTTAGTGTGAAAATTGCTTATTAAAATATTTTAGAATTGTTTTTGTTCTTGATTATAATAAAATAAATCAAAAATAAATTAAAGTAATCATTCTAATAAAATATATTACAAATTATTACTAAGAATAACATGGCTTATTTCAGTTATTATTAAAATTGTTAAAATTGGACAGTTATAATAATACATTTATAAATAATAATCACATCATATATGTATATAATATTACATCATATGACAAAATTAAAAATGAACATGATTCTTCATATATTTGCCTTCCTAAACATCTGAAGGTATTCATCAGTTAATACACCTTTTGCATATTGACAAATATAAAATCAAATAGTAGAGAGTGAATAGTTCATCATCATGGATTATGTAAGCAGAGTTTTAGCTTAAGTTTCTGAATCTTGTCTGTTTTATCTACACATTGCACTCCTCAGTTATATCCTGTTAATGATAAAACAATAAAACAGTTTAAAAATTAATTTTGAAAATTGAAATGAAATGTTATTTTCATATCAATGCATTGCATATAATAAGATCCTTTATGAATTAGAATAGGTGAAATTAAGATGGAATTGAAGAGTGTATATTAATATCATTCAGTGTTACTAAGTTTCTTAAGAAGACAGCAAATTAAGTAAACCTTTATCACTTTTATTTAAAAACATGTAACTAAAGACCTTGAAAATGGTCTTATCTATATTACATTTAGTAGTACAATAGAACCCTAAAAATGGTAACATCAGAACACATTGATAATGAGAATATAAATGGCATCTACTACAATGGTGATTATATAGACATGACTCAAAATTTTCAGATACCTTAGAAACATAGATATATAACCCTCAGCAAGATAAATGTCTCAAACTTAAGCTAGAATGTGGTCATCTCTTAAGATGTTAATAAGAATTGTCATATATAGCAAATGAATTTTTCTGACTACATTTTAAAGACAACCAACAAAAATTTCATGATATTTATGAAGGTTCTTCAAAAATTCATACAAAATGCATATGAAGAAAATAGTAGTGTGCATGGATATCAGAAAATATTACACCATTATAAACTTAGTTTATAATTTCATTTTCAATGAACTTTTTGAGGTACTCTGTATTAATAATGTCCAACAGTCCACTCATTAATATGAAATATTTTATAGGAATATCATTTATTAGATATCCTGGAAAAGAGATAATTAATACTACTCTCCAGAATTATCTCTTTATGGTAATGAAGTTTCATGCTATATTATTAAGAAAGAAAATGTACAAAATATTTCTCAGAGTATCCTTATAGTGTATGTGATTTTGCAATATTCAAAATTAAGGTGATTCTCATTTAAGTCATATTTTTGTAACTTCTCTATAGAAATAAAAATGAAAACAAATATTCACTATTAAATGCATTATTCTGTAGCCACTAAAATTTTATAGCTTCAGAAAAACTAGAGATAGCTAAGATTCATTTAAGAGTTCACCTAAACATTTTTTTCATACTTTTTCTCAAGCATGTCTAATTTGTTACAGAAAGGAATATAATTTGTTTCTAAAATCATTTTAGTAAAAATATGAAGGAATAATTTTCTTCAAAGTGGTCTGCAGATGTTAGTTAACTTTATGCATTTTCCCTGATTCTTTTGAGTTAATAGTGTATGCTGCTTCTACAAATTATCTCTCAAGTAATTTTGTGAAATACATCCTTTTGGTGACTAACAGTAAACACAGGAAGTTTCAGCTTTTAGGGATAAGATAATAATCTAGATTCTGAACTGGAAAACTTAAACAAATGTTTACCCTGTAATGATTTAGTTGTAATTGCTTAGCTGTAAAGTATGGTTTCAATGCATTCTAATTATCATATGATTAAATAGTTAACAGTGTTAGATTCAAATGATGAAACTACTGTTTCATCAGATTTGGACTCCATTTAAAAAAAAAAAAGGCCATTGGCTTTATATGTGCAAGTATAAAAACTTGGGAAAATAATTCAAAAGTCAATATTATCAAAGGCCAAAGCTTGTTTGGCGATTTACAGTTTTATAAACTCTGCTTCATCAGGGAATAAAGTGCTTTCCCTTGACCCTAGTGGAGACAGTTGGGCTGTGAATTCATGCTAATCACGTTAGGAATCATGTCTCATTTCGGATATATCTATCAGGTGTGGTCTATGCATGGCTCAGTACTCAAGTCGATTTTGGTACTTTGAGTATGTTTATGGAACTTTTCGATTTTTCTTACTTGGGTGAAACTGAGTCCTCAGCGTTGCAAAAGCAAAGATGAACATTTGTGCAAACATTTGTGTTTACTTTCAATTTTGTAAGATTTTCAGATTTCCAGTCTTTCATTTACATATTTACTAAATTGTCAAAATTGTTACATGATGTTATATGCCAGTGCCAAAACAACACTTAAGACATGTTTTCAAACATTTCTTTTACTTGAATCTGTAGCAATTGGTGAACCGGAGAGTATAGATTGGTATAATCCTCAAGGAGAGAAGATAATTTCAACACAGAGGGTAGTGGTGCAGAAGGAAGGCGTTAGATCACGATTAACCATCTACAATGCAAATATAGAAGATGCAGGGATATATCGCTGTCAAGCAACGGATGCCAAAGGACAGACACAAGAAGCTACAGTAGTTTTGGAAATTTACCGTAAGTCAAATATTTTTAAGTTGAAGTTAATTCAAACTGTGATTTATTGCAAAGAAATTCACAAAATAAAATGTGTTAATAATAAAAATGATGCTCATTGACAATTAAGTGTAAGGGCATTAAAAATGAATTAAAAGATGATTTACTTTTGGTGTAAAAAATAACCTTATTTTGTTGAAAACAAAATTAAAACTTTATTTTGCCTCAAAAATGTTTTACATGCACACAAATGTATATTATGCCAAAATTATGCCTGGATTTCAAAATTCTTGTAAACCAAAATAAACTTAAATTCTAATTTTCTCAAAAAAAGTATCCGTATGTATGTATATATTTGAGAGGGAGAGATGCAATAAGAGTGAGGGATACAGAAAGAAAGAGCAAGAGAGAGAGCTCCCATCTATTTGGTTCACTTCCCAAATGCCCACATCAGCCAGCACTGGGCTAGAACCAAGTCAGAACCTGAGAACTCAATGCAGGTCTCCCACATGGGTGGCAGGAACCCAATTATTTGAACCATAACCACTGCCATCCAGGGTGTACATTAGCAAAGTGCTGGAAATAAGAGCTGGAGCCAGGTATTGAAACCAGGAAATGTGACTTGGGACATTATCATTTTAACTGGAATCTTAACTGACAGGCTAAATGCCCACCCCACTCCCAAACTTATTTTGTGATTCCATTCTTCCATAAATTGTTTAAAGTGCTCTCATGTATGCTACATGATCCTCTGACCTTTAAAGATATCAGTTATTCATCCAGTTTTTGTTGAAGGTTTATTTTATTTATTTGAAAGGTACAATTACAAAGAGAGAGAGAGAGAATATTCAATCTTCTGGTTTATTCCCCAAATGGCTGTAACAGCTAAGGATGGGTCAGTCCAAAGCAAGGAATCAGAAGCTTCTTCCAGGTCTCCCACATGGGTGCAGGGTCCATAGACTTGGGCCATCTTCTTCTGCTCTCCCAGTCCATTAGCATGGAACTGAATTGGAAGTGGAGCAGCCAGGACTTCAACCAGCGCCCATATCAGGTGCCAGGGTCACAGGCAGCAGCTTTATCTGCCATGTGACAATGCAATCCCCAATTATTTATCTTTTATCAGAGTGAATTGTAAAGAAGGATGGATGTAGATAACAGGAAATTTTAAATATAGACATGAAAAAAATTCTGTTCATTAGCTATTATAAATAAAAATATTTTATTTCCTCAGGTCTCTAAGAATAAAGTGGGTAAATAGAAAATAATGGTCTGTTTTAGGGGTTTGAGGTTTATTCTGATTAATTTTCACACTAAAATAAAATACCAGCATTAGATATATGAAATTGAATATGCCACCACACCACTTTATATTCTAGAGTAAAACAGGGAGGAAGGGTCAGTAAACAGGAGTAGACAGAGAGAACACTGAAAACAAATCTAGTGCAGAATAACATGTACTCAGGATCCTCTGCCACCAGACATTTTCATCAATAGGATTTTCCATAGTTAAACTTGATTTTATACTTGAGCTGGATTGCTTTCCTCTGTTCTCTCCATTTAGGATCCATTAATCTATTATAGCATTGTTTTTGAAGCCTGCAGATATTCTGAATATGAAACCAGACTTTGTGAACTACTTTGTTGACCTTGAGTAAAGCATCTAACCTTTCTGCCTTCAATTCTCTCTTCTCTAAAATGGGTACAGTAGTACCTAAATCATATGTCGAGCTGGATTTTTTTAAGATTTATTTATTTATTTGAAATTAGAGTTACACACAGAGAGAAGGAGAGAGAGAGAGAGAGAGAGAGAGAGAGAGGTGGAGAGAGAGAGAGAGAGAGAGAGGTCTTCTATCTTCTGGTTCACTCCCCAAAGGACTACAATGGCTGCAACTGAGCTGATCTGAAGCCAGGAGCCAGGAGCTTCTTCTGGGTCTCCCACAAAGGTGCAGGGGCCCAAGGACTTGGGCCATCTTCTATGGCTTTCACAGGTCATACCAGAGAGATGGATTGGAAGTGGAGCAGCCAGGACTCGAACCGGCACCCATATGGGATGCCAGCACTGCAGGCAGTGGAGGCTTTGCTCTCTATCCCACAAAGCTGGCCCTGTTGACCTGTTTTGAGAATGTGCCAATTAATATTGCGTAAAGAACTTACAAGAACAATGCCTTGTAATCACATTTCCATCAGTGTAAAAACATACACATTTTTAGAATAGAAACTTAGGCTGTCTCTCCCTGTAGATTTGTGGTATATATATATATATATATATATATATGCACATACATATATATGTAGGATATGAAAGAGAAAAGAGAACATGTCCTTAGTAGGGCTTCCTATTTGAGGATTAAGATGGGTTGTTAGTACGTTCTTACCTTCATTTTTCCTGATTTAACTTTTTTTTACCCTGCTAGAGTGTAAGTTCCTCAAGAAAGATATTTTTTACATTTATATTACCTTCTTCAGTATTCTTTTCACCAATAACTGAAACTATATTAAAATGATCATTTAATGAACATAGTGTTTGCAAATATTTTTCATTGCTTTAAATAATGCAAAAGAAGATGTTTAGCATTTGCAAAATGAAAAAAATATCATTTTATTTGGTGATAGCAATGTGTTGTGTTACTTTTGTGAAAAATCCTCATTGAAAAATACATGTTCACTCATTTATTCAACACATCAATTATAGTATAGTCAATACTGTGTTAAGTCCTAGATAATAAATTATGCATATATACATATATATGTATATATATACAGTAGAACTCTATTGGAAAAATATTAGGTTGCAATAGAGAGATAGGGTATGTTTAATGACAAAACATATTGCTATTTTATTTGAGAATTTAGGCAGTCTTCTGAATTTTGGGGGAGTGAAAAATGCAAGGACAATCCTGGAATATTCAAGGAACTATAAGGCAGAGAAACACTGACTAAAAAGAAGGTAAATCGGAATGGTTTGTGAGGTAGACTTCGGTTTATATAGGATCAACTATGATATTGTAAGAATTTGTGATTTTATTCTCAGCAAAATGGGAATTTATTAAGGAGCAATTGAATTATATTGTCATGCTTAAGGTTTTAAATTATCCAGGTTCTCCTAATTACTTTAGTCCAGAATCAATAAACATAAATTCCAGAATATGTTATCATGAGAAATTAGTGATACTGTTATGATTTATCTTATTTCTTAATACAGAAAAGCTCACTTTCAGAGAAGTGGTGTCACCTCAGGAATTCAAACAAGGAGAGGATGCAGAAGTGGTTTGCCGTGTTAGCAGTTCACCTGCACCTGCTATCAGCTGGTTGTATCATAATGAGGAAGTCACCGCTATTTCCGACAGTTAGTATTTTGGTAACTCCCTAAGTTATATGTTCTAAAAATATTGCAGTTTTTAAAAATACTGAATCTACATATCTGATTATGGAAATGGTAATTTTTAACCCTAAATGTCAAACAGCTATTTTCAGAAACTTAAGCTCTGAGTTAGGGTTTGGCAAACTATGGGCATCAGGTTAAATTAGCTCCTCTACTGTTTTTAGAGGACGTTTGAAGAATAAACCCATGCCCAATATTTACATCTTTTCTGTGACTCCTTTGAGGGCAGAATTGAACAATACTTAATATATAGAGAGTTAAGGAAGAAGATTGCTAACCCTTTCTTTAGTTTCAAAGACAGATTAATAAACTAAAAACAGCACTAAGTAAACGAAAGAATAAATCCTCTGCATACATACCTACATAGTGCAATTTTAATATGATCCTACAGGCTCACTGTATGCAAATTAAAATAATATCTTCATTAATCCTATTTTTATTCTGGGATTATCCTTTTTAAAGATTTCTACATGCTCTAAATGTTGTGGTATGATACATATGGATAATGACAGAAAAGTACATTCATTCAAATAGTCTTCATGATTTTACTTCAGACTGAGCTAAAATTCCAGAACAATATGACATTTGAAATTGAAAGCATAATTTGCTTATATTATGTTCCTTTACCATTGTGCATAGGGAGTATTTTCAACTTAGAATATATTTCAATGCACCTGCTTTGCAGAGAGGTACAAAATAATTGAATCTTTTTAAATACTTTCGGGGCCGGCGCCGTGGCTCACTAGGCTAATCCTCCGCCTTGCGGCGCCGGCACACCGGGTTCTAGTCCCGGTCGGGGCGCTGGATTCTGTCCCGGTTGCCCCTCTTCCAGGCCAGCTCTCTGCTATGGCCAGGGAGTGCAGTGGAGGATGGCCCAGGTGCTTGGGCCCTGCACCCCATGGGAGACCAGGAAAAGCACCTGGCTCCTGGCTCCTGCCAGGATCAGCGCGGTGCGCCGGCTGCAGCGGCGGCCATTGGAGGGTGAACCAACGGCAAAGGAAGACCTTTCTCTCTCTGTCTCTCTCTCTCACTGTCCACTCTGCCTGTCAAAAAAAAAAAAAAAAAAAAATACTTTCCATCCTGGATGATCACATTTTGTGTTTCTAAGAGATGAAGCTTCTAGAGCATAAAAGAGAGAAAGTAGAGGTATCTATTTTTGAATATGTAGAGAGAATGTATCATAATTCTGTTCAATAGTCATTTTTGAAATTTTACAAGGATTTTTCTGAGTATGATATTTGCAGTGCTTTTCAGCTATTGACTGAAACTTTTTATTTCTATTATAATAATAAAATGAAAAATAATCCTAAATTTCCTCTTATTTTATTTTTGCATAAGTGCTTTAAATTTTATTAACATGAATAAATTATGGTATGTGTTTTCATTGTTTTTCCCCTCATTCAAAAGAAGCACAGTTCTTTTATACTAGTTAAATAATGATGTCTGACACTTTCAGATTGTCTAAGCTTGTGCTTTACAAGTACATCTGGGTCACAGCACATAGACAAAATACTTCAAAGCAGAGATTAATGGCCAAGTTTAGTGGTGGTGTAGTGAGGCTCTTGTCCTAGAGTTCACACATGTCTCCGAGCATCTCAGAATGGACGGCCATAAAGAATGAAATCCATTTTGCCTTTTCCCTTTGCCTTGACTCTGAAGCTTTGAACAACTTTTTATACTAATCTGCACACAAAAAAGCCAGATTCATTATCTGTAGAATACAATTTATATTCATTTCAAACAATAACTATGTGATATAAAATACATATTCTAAATGCTTAAATATTTACATGAATGAATACAAATTTTGGCTATAGGTCAGACTCTCAAATAAGTAAGCTTATCTTTCTCATTCTTTTTTGTCTTAAAATCCTGGGAATCGGTTATACAAAAATTATATGGATTTATGTTATAGGTAAAACTAGAAAAGCCAATGCAGAGTAAAGGACTTGAATGAAAATTTAACATAGGAAGGTAGAAGAAGTAGAATTATACATTTATAATGTAGCTTATATAATATTGATATATATTATTAACTTATTTAAAACATAAACTTCTAAAACTTGTAATATTGGAAAAAAAAACTTACCACATAGTTTATTATCAAACTGTATGTTTATAATAGATTTACAATATATAGTATACTTTGTCTAATTTTATTCTTTGTGCTTCATTGATTAAAGCAAATAAATTGAGATCAGGTTTATATTGATGAAAATAACATGTATAGGGATTTAGAGCAATGCAGAGGTTCCAGATAGCCATCTGTTGCCTAAATGAGTACGGAGGTAAAATTGAGATGTTCCAGATAGAATATGGAAGGTATGGAAATGTTTTACATGTTTAATAGTAGATGTGCACCAAATAGTCAACATTACATTCATACAGAATAAATGTAGTTGAGATTTTCCATGTAAAGAATCTAAGTAAGCTTTTAGGGAGTAAAGGAGACATTTTGTATGAAAGTTGAATATCTTGACTCAGTATCATTGTTATGGAGAAAGATGTCATTTCAAATATCTATTCAACCTTAGCCAGTTTGAGAATTACTTCTTACACATCATAAATACTTCACATCTAATAGAGGTTTTATATCTGCATTAAGACTATGGATGTCATCATTTTGTTCCATAAAATTTGTATATAATCTCCTTCTAGTAAATGATTCATTCAACGTAACACCTGGTATATACCCTTCTGTACTAGATGTTGGTGCTTCATTGTTAACCATGTAAACATGCTCATTGCCTTCAAAATACTGATAATATGGAGGGAAAGATGCATAGATTAAACAGTGAAAACAGGCTTCCTTGAGATAGAGAAAGTGCTGTAATAGAGAATGACAGTGAAGGAACACCTCAGGAAGTTAGGATAGGTGATGATGTCAAACAGGCCTGCCTGCCTGCCCGGAGGCAAGAGTGACCTTCAAATAAGTTCAAAGATTAGCTGGGCAAAGTGCAAGGAGGATTTTTCAGTGGAGGGAGTACCATGTCCAATGGCCAGGGGTCAAAAATCACATGAATAATGTTTTCTAGAAACTGGAATGAGTTGTTATTCATTAGAAATTATGAATAAGGATAATGTGAATACTTCCATGAAAGTGGAATATAACCAGAATTTTTAAATTAAAGACTAAGAAGGGAAGCTGGAGAGGAAGGCCTAGCCAAAAAAGCATGACCTTGTCATTTCTTCTAAGGAGTTTATAGTTAATCCACAGGGACCATAGGCAGTGCCATGTATTTGAGAAGGTTATTAGTGAATCAGTTAAGAGAATAATTTGGCCAAAACTCCATATATTAAGATCAGTTTGGAACCTAATGAAATAATTACAGAAAGAGAAGAAAAATCAGACTAAGCAATGACGAAAGAGAAGTGATAGGACATGGGCTTTGACTGGATATGCACACTGAGAGAGATGGACTTGACAACAGTGACTCCCAGAATTTATCTCATACAAAGAATTCCACGACTTAGGGAATTGCCTTGGCAGCAAATTCCACATAAGCCATTGTAAATATGTATGAAGACAGAACTGGAGAAAAAGAGACAGGGAATTTCAGGTTGAGTTACTGAGCTAAACTTTAAACATACTGAGATTGAAGTATTTATGACCTTTCTGAGTAGATGTGCCTGGAAGACTGTTAAACAGATAATATGAAAATAATTATGAAACTCACAAGAGTAGTTTGGGCTAATGAAAAGCAGAGAAATTGAGATGCATAAGTGAAGCCATAAGCTTCATGTTTGTATCTCAAGAGCAACCTAAAGAAAAATAAACATTACGGAAAAGTTTATACCACTTGGGAGGAAAACCCCCTGGCTCTACCTTTTAGTATTTTCTCTCTGAAATAGCTTCTGAATCCATTTGTTTGCACTATTAGCTATCACTTCAACATGTCACCACTTGTCTATCTATGTTAATGACCATCAGTAGCCATTGAATGAGGATTGGATGAGGGGTGGGGAAGAATTAAGAAACAGAGCATAAAACAGACATCTCATCAGTTGTGCTCTGTGCTTTTATTTTTTTACCTTGATAATTAGAATAGAATTTTGTAACACTGAGAAAACAGATAATATGTACTAGTTAAATATTTCTCATAGTCCTAGTAATGTATGATTGTTTGAAGCACTGTTTTCTTCAACTGTTTTCTGGAAACACATATCACTGATGTACTTTTTATTAGCAGATTGCCAACAACAGTCCTTAGATTTCACAAACACATTTGGAATTTGAGATAAAATTTTGTATAGTTTGGATTCTCTGTGGAAAAATACTTACACTCACAAACATATTTAATAGTATATATTTAGATTTAGCAGGTGATTACTGTTTTCCTAAAGTTCTACCAGTTTTCTCTCAGTAGATATTATGAATTAAAACAGCCTTTGGAAGCTATAATTTTCCAATTAACAAGAAACAGATTTATTTCCATTCAAAAATTGGTATAAGCTATTTTAATTTATTTTATTGAGTCTTGTCTTTCTGTTTGAAATAGTGCTCCCTCTTACTATTTTTCTTAATTCAATTAAAAGGAGCTAAAGACCATTGTAGTTAAATGATACATGTTTAGCAAGTTAGAAAAGGCAGTAATAAAAACATCTAGATACAATTAAGAGTATCCTTTGATTTACCCTGAACTTGTAAAAACTAATGAATACTTCTCATTATGATTTTCAACTATATAACTGAATAAATGATCTTAGAGTGTTTCTGAATTTTATTGATGTAGGCAGGCAAATAGGATAAAATCGATTAAGTTTGTAAGCTGGAAAAGTCACGCTCCTACCTGACCACACTTGTAGGCTCACTTGCCAATCAGACTACATAATTCCCTTGTTATGTTTGTTTTCCTTGTTGTCCCACACATGACCTTTGCATGCATACTTGCTCCATGTGGACCCAACTTAGCTTCTAGACCTCTCCTTCTCCCCTAAATAAAGCCCTCACTCTCATGTGCATTTCTCTCACTGAATAAAACCCTTAAAAACTTAGCATATTGTCTGGTCTATTTGAGCCAGTATTCAGAATTCTTCTCCAAATAAGTGGGAAGAGACAACAGACTTATTAATATTGAAAATTATTAATAGCAGTCCAATATCATCTCAGGACTTCTTGTGAGTCATTTATCACAATTTCTTCCATATTTACCTCTCACTCCCCCATAACTTTTCTTTGGTAGTAAAATTTCATGCTTGTCTTCTAATTTACCAGGGGAGCAATTATGCTAAAACATTTGTCTTTCTTCTTAGGAGAAACCTAAACAATAAATAAATTATATGGAAAGCTTATGCCACTTGTGCTGAAAATCTTGTGACTGTAGATTTATAGTATTTTCTCCCTGAGATAGCCTCTGGACCCATATGTTTGCACTATTTGTTATCTCTTCCACAAGTTGCCACTTGTTTGCCTCTGTTAATGACCATGAGAAGTCTGGTGATTCCTCTATTTCTAGCCAAAATTTTTCCCATGTTGTTAAGGAAATTCTATGGTAAATCAGTCTCCAAATCTGAATGGCCTACTTGCAGAGAAATTATTTTTCACTCATGAAATATCTAATAATCAGGAAGGGTAGAGGCAGGATGCCGCCTCATGCATCCATTCAGTGCTCCAAGCTGGTAAAGGATCCACCTTTTTACACATGTGGCTTCCATGATGTCCGTGACTGGAAAGGGAGCAAATAGGAGAGAGCAGTGAACAGTGAAATTCATCCAAAAGTAACCTTTTGACTATAGATATCCAAGGGATGGGGCACCCTAAAATAATGCCCCTTCTACTTAACAAGTGCCCAAAGGCAATAAAGACCACAGCTCTTTATGTATCGACGTATCTCAAATACCATATGCAACAAATAAATGATATTCAATGATATCTGTAGATTCATTCATTAATGAGATCTAAGATACTGCCTGCAAAACATGTCTCAAAATAGGACCTGGTGTGCTAGCACTCTATATGATAAGAGAAAGAGTTTAGCACTGCAACAGAATTGTGATGAATATTAACTAAGGCCAGATAAAAAAATAATGTCAGGCAGAAACACTGCATAGGATTTCAGGTCATTGTAGCAGATTACCTTAAGCACTCAGTTCATGTATTTGTCTTACTGGTTTATTCTTATATGCATGCATGTGCCACAAATACACCCACCCAAAATGGAATCTTGATATAAAATTGATAAAGTCTAATTAATTCATTCCTAGAACTGATTATCTTGCATTTAGCCAAAGAACAACCTCTTAAATAAATCCAAGATATTACTATTTTATATCCTTTATGTGACTTGAATATTATTGTATCATTTTGCTTCTTCCTCTGGGTATGAAAAATTATTAGTTTAATTATTGTGTGAACAGGGATGTTCAATACATTTTCTAATCCTTTTTCATACCCAAGTTGCTACATATTTGCAATGAAAAGTTTTCATGTTGGCAATATCTAATCTCTCCGCATTGTTCTTTGGAGCATAATTTCTGCACTCAGAATACCAAGGGGGAAATAATAGTCTAACCATTTTATGTGGATATAAAGTCTTGAATGTGTTTTAGAAAAAAAGGTGTAACAAGGCAGTGTGGAGTGGAGAAATTGAAGTCGTGAAATTACATTTTACTTTCAAATTTGAATTTGTTTGTTGATGAAAAGTTTGATAGTGTGAGGCAAGTGCCATATTTTAACTCTCAGCACTTTAGAGCACACTGGACTCAGCCTTCACTTTCTGATATCATTTCCTCCCCTTGGCTTGCTTTTCAGATCGGTTCGCTATGTTAGCAAACAACAATCTGCAGATTCTCAACATCAATAAAAGTGATGAAGGTATATACAGGTGTGAAGGAAGAGTGGAGGCTAGGGGAGAAATTGACTTCCGTGATATCATCGTTATTGTAAATGGTAAGCAGTAATTAATTTCAATATATTTTATGGATTCATTTTCGCAATATGTTTATTAAAAAGACAGCAATTTAAATTTGACACTCAAGTCTTCCCTAATGAACCTCTTCAATGCCTGGAAGAAATTCTCCCTCCTCTTCCATGGCATCTGCTTCAATGCATTGCCATCTCAAGGGCAGCAGCTGTGACTTAACTGCCATGCTCACCACAGCGTTCAGTTAAAAATCGCCTTTGCCAAGTTTGTAGAATTGAAAGAATGTCCAATGAAACATAGGTAAGTATTACACTAGATTTTACTTTTTATTTTTTTATTTCAATTCGTTTAAATTTGTAAAACAAAAAAATGAAGTGATACAGCATTCCCATATACCCCCTTAAAGCTTCCCCTATTATTAACATTTAATATTAGTGTGTTATAATTCTTGAGTTGCTGCAATTTCAATTCAAGTAGTCTCAAAGTTCTACTTTTCTCCACATCAAATTTTTCAATTCTAATAATGCTCCCATTTTTCTCATTCATTACAAGAAAAAAAAAATCTAAACAAGTTTTCATGACTTACTTACTACATTTCTTAATGTAAAGTATTGTTTTTCAAAAAGTATCTCCCTGGAGATAAGGTTGTGGCATAGCAGGCTAAGTTGCCACCTGTGACTCCTTTATCCCATATGGGCACTGGTTCATCACCCTTCTGCCCTACTTCTGATCCAGATCCTTGATAAATAACCTGGGAAAGCAGTAGAAGATGTCCCAAGTACTTGGACCCTTGCCACCATGTGGGAGACCTGGATGAAGGTCTTGCTCCAGGCTTTGGCCTGGTCCATCCCTGGGGTTCCAGCCATTTAGGAAGTGAACCAACAGATGAAAGATCTGCCTCTCTCTCTCTCTTTGGAACTCTTTCAAACAAATAAATAAATCTTAAAAAAATCTATCCCTTGCCCATTGCTATGTGAAATATAGTACTTCCCATGGAAGAATCATGAATTCTCACTCAACTGGGCATGTGACCTGCTCTAGCCATTGGCATAAAAGCAAGCCTACTATGTATCATGGCTGAAATCAAGCTTCAAGAAACGTCAAATGCTTCCTCAAATTCTTTTGCTTGTCCCTTCTCCCATGAAACTAGCGTGATCCAAATGGGGATTTCTTCATCCTGGAAACCATAATGAAGACATCAGGAGTAGAATCAAAACTGATCTGCAGGTGAAGACATGTATTGCAAATATGAAATAAACCATAGTTTTAAAGCACTGAGATCTTAAAGGTATTTGCTATTAAGGAAAAGCAGACAAGTGAAATGCTGGTAGCTTTTCCATCCTTAAACAATCAATATGACCACGATATGTTTGAGGGATTCTCCTGAAATTACTTCCATGAATGTCCCTCAGAGATATTCTGCTCCCATTCTCCCAGATGGTGATTTATGCCAAGAATATTTTAACACCTACCAAAATATTGGAAATTTAATTCAAAGTTTCTAGTGGAGTTTAATAATTATACTATCTTCATACATTGATTCAACAAATATATTAAAGTACTGGTTGTATGTTTCACACACGGTATGCTCAGAATACTAACAGGCCTAACAGCATCATTTCTCTCAAGGCCCTTATAATTTTATCCTAATGACATAAAATAATCTGCTTTACTAAAATCCTTATTATATATGAGTTCATTGGATATTTAATCATTATAGCAAGTGCACATGTTATAGATATGTACAGACTGTTTTATACTAAAAAGGGCACATAGTATAGCTGAACAGATTTTCTTTATATTTAGGATGTATCTAAGTAACACACTAGTATTATTTAGTAAAATAGAGAGAGAGAATATATTGCTAACAGATGGAAAAATCTAAAATGAGAATGTATAGGATATGTGTTGCTGTGGATTCATTCTGAGAGGAGGAGCATGGTGGGGGTAAGAGGCGCGGAGTCACCACACAGAACCCGGGAGTCAGGTGAAAGTGGGCCAGAGGCGAGCATCCCACAGACTCATTTATTTCAGTTGCTACAGCAGCTTAAATAGCCAAGGCAGCTAATCCGGTCAAGGGGCGGTTTATGCCCTAAACAATCACATCCTGCTGTCAGGCAGGTTCCATTTGCCATGTGGTTTCCAAAGCCATCCAATCACAGCCGGTTGCCAGGCAGGCTTCGTTGCCAGGTGGGTTTAGAAGCCATTCCTGAGTAACTGACACTTGCTTGCCAGCGGCCATCTTGGCATGGTCTTCTCATTCCACCACAGATATGAAAAAAAATCTAATAAAATAACTTACTGGAATATACTATTAGGAGGTGAGTTACAGTGATCTGTGGAAGAAGCCAATCTTCTATAGAATAAAAAAGAGCTGCCACTGAGGAGCAAGTATCATAGAAGGCAAAGAATTTGATAGAAGGATGAAGGCAAAAAGATAAAGTGAGTCAATAGGTTCTATACTAATGGACATGGGAGTGAAGAAGAAGGCATATAACCATGTCATATTTGAGGCAATATCATCATGGTCTCCTCTACCACACAGAAGCTTGAGAAATCAAGGATGATTTCAAGACTTCCAATTTGGATTATAAGTATACAGAATTGCAGATTCAAGCAACAGCAACTGATGTGGTGTGTCTGAAATATGCCTGATGAATTTGGCAATTTTGAAGTCCAAAGGGACACTAAGGTGAAAAATATAGCTTGAGTAGCCTGGGTACAACTTAGATTACATCAACAGAAAACATAATATGCACTTATGTCCACTGAAGAATGGAGGTAGAAAAGGTAGGACACTATTATCTCAACTAGTTAGACTCAAGTTTTAAAAAGGAAAGCACTAAAAATTCAAATTAAGTGTTAGAGAAAATTGTTGAAGTTTAAGGATATTTTCAAGGAAGATTTACCTTTAACATAAGAGGATATTTATTATATTGAGTGGAGGAAATTCATAAAAGTAGAAGAGGATGTACTTAAAAAGTCAGAAAGGTATTTTGTTAATACATTTGGATAAATCCTGCTCGTGACTTCAAAAGTCTTTTTCCACTCAGCTGGGGAAAAGCCTCATTAAGGAAACATTTTTACTTTTTAATTTTTCAAATATTCTCCCATATTTTTATATATGTTTATGTATTTTTCTTGGATAGTTAAATAAACTTTCTAACTTGTTAGAGACTTCATTTTCACTAACCTACTAATAAGTGTTATTATAGCTTCTTTGACACGGACATACTTTGTGGTTTTTTGAAAATGAGATTACAGAAATTTGTTGATTTGATGAACCATATTTTCCATAAATTCCTGAACAGTTCTAGCTGGGTAATGAGACCATGCACACACACACACACATACATGCTTACTTACAATTTAGATACACTATTTTGAAAGAGGATTAATATCTTCCTGATTGCTGCAATCCATTTACATCCCTCTTTCATATGACTCCTAGCCCTAGGTTGAGCAAATGGTCTCCATAACTTCTCAGAAAAATGTTCATATAGAAAGATGACAGACCTAGAAATAACTTCTAAATTTAAAATCTAGTCAATAGTATGTTATTTTAAAAAAATTGTTCTTGTAAGTCATAATGATTCATTATTTTCTGAATCTTTTGTAAATTTGTGAAGAATGCTCCACTAACTGCAGGTTCAAATTTAGAGTAATGGAAGTAGGAGCAATTGCAGTTGGATGAAAAACACCTACTGGTGTAATTTTCAGGCAATTTTGACTTTAGTCTTTCTTTGAACATTAAAATCAACAGTGGATGATAATGGTCAGAGGTTTTTGTGTAAGTGGGTGTCTGAATGTATAGTGCACTTTGTTATCTGCTGACCCTCAGGCAGTGATTCTTATATTCCTACCTATTTCTAGCCATTTCTTAAGGTCAAAAAAAGTGATAAAAAATACTTTTCCAATTGCAACAAATGAAAATCAGAACTTTTTCCTTAAGTTGTATGCAGTGTTCCATACTATAAAGCATATGTAAGGATAAAAGATAATGAGCTTAGCTACTTCTATATCAGTAATATAATTGAATCAACTATGCAGAATTTTAAGTCAATTTAATAAGTGAAAACTATGAAGAAATTTGTGATTTGTAACAGTGATATATATATATATATAAAATTTACCCTAAGGTCAATAAATAAGCAGTTATCCAAATGAATATATTTTCTAGCATTATTCATTCTAAAGATTAGATTAAATTTTAAGGATTTGCTGGTGAATGCAAGGAAAGAGCGTAAGATTTTTCCTTAATTATAATTCTTATATGAACACAATTTTAGAAATTGCAAGCTTGTAAAAATTATAAACAGATGATTGATACACAGACAGACAGATACAGATGGTGGATCATCTACAGAGATCTAGGCATATTTTGTTTGTCTTTATCCTCCATATAAATGACTGATGTGAGAAGTTAACAGAGTTCATTTCATTTCCTTCAATCTCTATTTCTTTAGTATCTATTTCTTAAGCATACTTAGTGGTTTAATATATTTGGAAAGCTGTACAGAAGCATGCATTCATTTTATCTTGTTAATCATGTAAAGTTTACTGACATAAAATGTTTACTCACATAAACATTTATCTAGACAAATTTTATTTCTAGCGTTTTTATTTTAGAAAAGTAACAGACATTTTTTACCTATTTATAGGGTACTATGTGATTTTTCAGTAAATGTGTATATTGTTTATTAAACAATCAGGGTAAACATAGTTAACACTGTTATTTCATACAGTAACAGTTATTTAGAATGGAACTATCCCAAACACTGTCTTCCAGTTTTTATATATACAGTATATATTCAAAGCATTAGCCTATTAATCTTTCAACTACTATGATTCTTAGCCCTTTTGAACTTATTTACTTAGTTACTTTTATTGTATTTGAAAGGCAAAGAAACTGAAAGAGAGAGAGAATCAATCTTACATTTTCTGATACACTCCCTCAGTGCATGCAAAATCCAGGGGTAACCCAGGGTGAAGCTGAAAACCTGGGACACCATCTAGCTCTCCCATG